ATTCCTAGATATGGTAAGGCCGAAAGCCATTGGAAGGGGAACGTTTGCTTCAAAGTAGTCAAAAGTGGTGGTGGGAGGGTAACTGACATAGCTCTTGATTTAGCTGGGTTGACATGTAAACCTGAGAGGGTGGCAAAGGAATCGAGAACTGCTAGCAAATTAGGCAAAGTAACCCCCGGATCGAGATTGACAATAATATGTCATCCGCAAACAACGATAATTTATGTTGGGAGCCTGCCACATCAATTCCCTTAATATCAGGATGTATACGGATTGCTTCTGCCAACGGTTCCAGGGCTAAGATAAAAAGTAAAGGGGAAAACGGGCAGCCCTGTCTAGTACCTCTAGCAACCGAGAACGTAGAAGACTCAAATCCGTAGTATCTAAGCTTCTCTTGAGGGGATGTATATAGTGAAGAGATCCATCGTAAGAAGGAAGGGCCGAAACCAAAACGATGGAGGACCGACAGGAGATACGGCCAGGATAAAGTGTCAAAAGCCTTGTTGATGTCTAAGGATAAGAGCATCATATCGATTTTACGAGTATGGGCCAAATGTTGCAATTGTAAAATACGTCTGATAGCATCTCCGGCCTGCCTATGGGGAACAAATCCCACCTGATCCTTTTTAATTAGACGAGAAAGGAAGGAATTCAATCGAGTAGCCAAAATCTTAGTAAGAATCTTCATATCGATATTGATAAGAGAGATAGGCCTGTAATTAGCCCAGGAAGAATGATCTCGATCCGGTTTAGGGATCATAACCACATTAGCAGTTAAATAGTCCGGGGAAAAATTCGAGCCTCCCTTCACCGCATTAAACATAGCGGCAAGGTGGGGAGCGAGCACATCAGCCAATTTCTTATAATATAGTGCCGTGTATCCATCAGGACCTGGGCATTTGCCTGTTTTCAGTTCTGCTATACATTGCAAAACCTCAGATACTTGGATATTTCGATCCATCAGATCCCTATGGGCCGACGTTAAAGTGGGTAATGACAAACTAGATAAGAAGTCAGAAATAGACTGAGGGTCAGCCCGGGTGGGATCAGAGTAAAGTTTAGCTAGTCTGTGCCGGAACTCCTCTAAAACCCTTACTGGGTTGCTCGTAAGGGTATTGTGACGAGTACGTAAAGATATCGGTTTGGGGTGTTGTGCAAAAGAACGCAATATATGGGCCAACATAGGGTCTGGTTTGTTAGCTTTGCTATACCACTTCTGGTGAGTCCAACGCAAGGAGCGCTCAGCCTCATCTGTTAAACAAGATCCAATTCTAAGCGAGCCTGATCCAACATTCTGCGATTTGACGGGGAAGGTGACTGTTTAAACTGGGCTGACGCGGAAGTTAACTTCGATTCTAACTGACATTGCTTAAGCTGTCTTTCCTTCTTTCGCCTTGAAGCTATATGGATAATATGCCCCCTAAGAACTGCCTTATACGCTTCCCACAATGTTACTGAAGAAGAGACAGAACCTGGTTTAACTGGAAATATTCCTGAGACTTACGATGTAACTCCGTCTGAATCTCCTTCAGTGAAAGCAAGGAATCATTCATTATCCATGAAGAGAAGGTCGGCCTGCATAGGAGAGATTGACAGACTACCAAAATAGGCTCATGGTCTGACCATGAGACTGTTAGGATAGAGAGAGAACGAACCAGAGGGAGATGTTTACGTGAAACAAAGGCATGATCAATTCTAGAATGAGAATGGTGAGGGTGTGAATAATAAGTGTAGTCTTTCCCCTGAGGATGAAATTCACGCCATAAATCTACCAGATCATAGGTCGTTAACGTCCGTACAAAGGACTTCGCTGAAGTGGAAGGGTCAGAGCGTTCTGCCGGATATTTATCAAGTGAAGGGTTTAACACTAAATTTGAATCCCCCGCCATCAGAAGCGTACCCCTTTGATGTGTGGCCAGGAGAGAACATAGATGTGACAGAAAAGGTCCAGGGTTGACGTTAGGAGCGTAATAAGACATTATGGTAACATCTATTCCATGGATCGTACCCTGGAGCAGAAGGTATCTACCATTGGGATCAGCAATACGCTTCACACAGACAAATGGAGTTTTACTATGGAAGGCAACCAATACACCTCTCTGTTTAGTGGGACCAGTAGCTTGAAATATCTGAGGGTAACGTGCATCAAAATATTTTGGGGCAGAAGTAGTGGAGAAGTGGGTGTCTTGCAAACAAGCAATGTCAACTTTGCGAGCCCGAAGAAACTTAAATATCTTTACCCGTTTCTGTGGAGAGTTCATCCCCTGGACATTAAGTGATAACCAGTTCAACGCCATGGATATCTAAAAGGAAGGAAGATAAAATCCACCACGATCCCCGGGAGCCCTTGAAACAAAAATTTGCAAAAACACAAGACATACATGACAAAGGACAAAGAGAAAGAAACTAAGAAGAAAAGAGGACAATAAGACCTCTAATATACAAACAAGATATCTGTAAATCATAGAGAATCACCTGTGGGTAAAACACCCACATAGAGGCTAGGTAGCGGGCGGGACAGAAGACCAGACCGCTAGCCAGCTCGGAGGGGGACACGACCCTCCACCGGAACAACTCGGCATTGATATAGAATATATAAACATTATACAAACAACTAAGGCTAATACACCTGTGAATAGGCAATCCAAAACTCGCAGGACAATAAATGCAGAGAAAAGTAACATCCACTCTTGTCCGGAAGAGATATGGCACACGGAAATGTAAAATCCCTGAACAAATCTAAATTCAAGTCCAGAGAGTGGCGGCGAGAAAAAAAAAAAAAAAAAACACATGGGACTAAGCTACATAAACATCAGGTCGCAGAGATTTCCTGAAAGCGCTGGGCCTGTAAGGATCGAAGAGCCTGTGAACCGCTTTGACTAGGAGGAGATTTAAGCAAAGACTGAGAATTTTGATGATGCGTAGGTAGTAAAGTCTCCTCACTCTGGGATTGTGGCAACTCCAAGTTGAGCTCCCGAAAGTGACGCCGGAGATCTGCTGGCGTAGAAGCTTGAAATTGACGACCTTGAAAGGAAAAAGAAAGCTTGAAAGGGAAGCCCCATCTGTACTTGATATCAGCTGACTGAAGAATCCGAAGATAAGGTCTCAAGGTGCGACGTTTGGCAATCGTGACTGGGGACAGATCCGCGAATAGATGGACAGAATGACCTTGAAACTCCAAAGCCGAATGATTCCGAGCTGCCTGCAGTAGACGTTCCTTAGTGCGATAGAAGTGAAATTTAATAATGTCTCTGGGAGGACCCTCCGTGGACTTAGGTGCTAGAGCTCTATGGATACGATCAAACTCCAGACGCTCCAGAGGAATCTCAGGGGCCAGCTCCTGGAAAAGGGCAGTTGCAGTGCCCTGCAAATCGGTGATTGCCTCCGGGATTCCACGGATGCGGAGATTATCCCTGCGAGCTCTATTCTCAGCATCCTCCAGCTTATCTTTCAAAGTATCCAGCTCAGCATGTAGATCCTCCACTTCTTGTTCATGACCCTCCAGGACTGTAGTTGCCAGATCCATGCGTTGTTCCAATTGGTGGGCACGGAGACCCAGCTCTTTTAGGCCTCTCGCCAGATCAGAAGATAATTTACGCGAAGCAACAGTAATCTCCTCTCGCACTATAGCACGGAATTTGTGTAGTAAGGCTTTGGGATGATGTTCAAGAGGATCGACCATCCCCGACGGAAATTGCCGCTATCGCCATCAGACTCGGGGTCCCCTGGAAGTTGGGTGGTATCATCAGGCTCAGGCGGGCTAGGTATCAACTTGGCAATGTGGCCTTGTAAAGGGGATTGCTGTTTGGCCCGGTGTTTAAGTTTAGTGCGGGGAGTGCGGTGCATTTCCAAAAGCGGTCTACAGATTTCCAAGTCACCCCCAGACTATTGAAGTGTAATGTTAGGGTGTAGAAGCCCAATGGCCGAGAAGAATGTCACGGTGGCGCGGCCCAAGGAGGTCACTCTGGCATTTTCCCCCTTGGTTCGTGTACGTGTCCCCCACCGGGGAGGTATTCACAGAAGGTTCAACATAATGTTACAGTCAGTGAAATATAGATGTTATGATATATAGGCCAGGTATGCAGACTGTGTAGAGGTTGCCAGAAGATATCCCAGACACCCCTGATTTATCCACTGGGGAAGGGGACTATGCAGGAGGATGCCTTCTCCCAGCCAGCACCGTTCCTGTAGCAGGTCAGACCTCCAGTATCCTGCTGGGATCTTGCAGGGACACAGCACAGTCCACCAGGCCACCAGGAGGACCCTAGGAGCCCACCCAACCTGCCCCAATAGCTGACCTGACTCCAGGGGACTCCAGGGGTTGGCGGGCAAGGCGATAGGGCGGCAGTCCGGCCGCAACGGCGATCCGCTCCAGCCGCGGATCTAGGAAACACCGCGGCTTCACACGCCGCGGTAGGCCTCAATCCGCCCCGCGCCCCAGATGTTCAGAGAAGGGGCAGAGCGACTCGACACCCCCCTCAGATGTCAGATGGTGTCTGGGCAGCTGGGGATCCGCTGTGGGCAGCCTCCGTATCCCGGATGGTAACGGATGGAGGATTAGGGTGCCGGAGCTTCAGAAAGAAGCGTCTGCTCCCGGCGCCATCTTGGACACGCCCCCCAGCTGTCAACTCCTTCCTGTGCCATGACCTAAAGTTTCTGCAGGAAGTAAGACAGAAGTAATGGAGAACCTTTTTTTTTTTTTTTTTTTTTTTTTTTTTTTTTTTTTTTTTTTTTTTGTTATACAGCCATCTGGACAGTGAGATAAAGATGGGTAAAATAAATGGAAAGCTTTTGAATTTCTGCAAAAGAAGCACATTATTGCTATATTGGTACACAGGGGGGCTGGAATTTAGAAAAAAAAAAAAAAAAAGGTAAACAAAGTTGATCTTATCCATTAAAGGAAACCTGTCACGAAAGTAACATTAGGTTGCCATTTAACTTCAGTTGATTTATATGGTTGTAACTTTGAATGCTAGCTAACTTTTCCATTCTTCCTCTAGGCATTGTAGATGGTGCTCCATACTCCATGATCACAGATTTTCCATGGCTTCGCTCGCTTAGAACTGCTGAACCGAACAGCTATGCAAGATATGACTTTGAGGATGATGAAAAAAGTAAGCTAGTAAACAGTATTGTGCTTAGGCTAGTCATTGTAAAAGGTGCCAGCACACAGGTCACCCAGACCTTATCAGCCAACCAGCAGCCACTCAGTATTTGTTGAGTTATTGAGGCAATGGATGGGAAATCAGAATTCATGGCCACATTTGTTAATGCATGCTGTTCTTGAACAAGACAAGCAATTGAATATTTAAACTTACATATGTATTCCAATATATTAAAGACTAAGTAGGCTGTACTTACCATTTATGCTTGGTGAAATTTATATAAGGCTATTTATGCACATCTTCCCCATCCTCACATGACATGCCGGTGGTGGACCTGAGAAGAGGATTACCTCTTGAAATGTTCCACATTTTGTCATGTTAAAACTAAAAACATAAATGTATTTTATTGGGATTTTATATGATAGACCAACACAAAGTGGCACATAATTGTCAAGTGGAAGGAAATTGATAAATGGTTTTCAACATTTTTTACAAATATATATGTGAAAAGTGTAGTGTGCATTTGTTTTCAGCCCCCCCGAATCAATACATTGTAGAACCACCTTTAGCTGCAATTACACCTACTAGTCTTTTTGGGGATGTCTCTACCATCTTTGCACATCTAAAGAGTGACATTTTTGCCCTTTCTTCTTTGCAAAATAGCTCAAGCTCTGGATGGAGAGTGTCTGTGAACAGCAATTTTCAAGTCTTTGTAGCTCTGGCTGTATGTTTAGGGTTGTTGTCCTGCTGGAAGGTGAACCTCCGCCCCAGTCTCAAATCTTTTGCAGACTCAAACAGGTTTTCTTCTAGGATTGCCCTGTATTTGGCTCCAACCATCTTCCCATTAACTCTTACCAGCTTCTCTGTCCCTGCTAAAGAAAAGCATCCCCACAACATGCTGTCACCATCATGTTTCACGGTGGGGATGGCGTGTTCAGGATGATGTACAGTGTTAGTTTTCTGCCATACATAGTTTTTTGCTTTTAGGCAAAAAGTTAAATTTTGGTCTCATCTGACCTTCTGCCACGTTTGCTGTGTCCCCCACATGTCTTCTCACAAACTGCAAATGGGACTTCTTAAGGCTTTCTTTCAACTCTCTCATAAAGGCAAGATTTGTGGAGTGCACAACTAATAGTTGTCCTGTGGACAGATTCTCCCACCTGAGCTGTGGATCTCTGAAGCTTCTCTAGAGTTACCATGGGCTTCTTGCCCGCTTCTCTGATTAATGCTCTCCTTGCCTGGCCTGTCAGTTTCGGTGGATGGCCATGTCTTGTTTTGTTTGCAGTTGTGCCATACTCTTTCCATTTTCGGATGATAGAACTCTGCTTCGTGAGATGTTCAAAGCTTAGGATAGTTTTTTTTTATAGCCTAACCCTGCATTAAACTTCTTCACAACTTTATCCCTGACCTGTCTGGTGTGTTCCTTGGCCTTCATGATGCTGTTTGTTCACTAAACCTCTGAGGGCTTCACAGAACAGCTGTATTTATACTGAGATTAAATTACACACAGGTGGACTCTATTTACTTATTAGGTGACTTTTGAATTGGTTCCACTAGTTTTTGGTATCCGCATAAAGGAGGCTGACTACAAATGCATGCTACACTTTTCAGATATTTATTTAAAAAAAAAATGTATCATTTTCCTTCCACTTCACAATTGTGTTGGTCTATCACATAAAATCCCAACAAAATACATTTACATTTTTGGTTGTAACATGACAAAATGAAATGTTGAAAATTTCAAGGGGTATGAATACTTTTTCGAGTGTGTGTGTGTAAAAAGTAATTATTTATTTTATTTATATTTTTTTAAGCTGAACCTTTTAGTATCACTTTGTGTGCACTTATGTGAGAGCCGTGTTTTGCCTGCATTTGGAGCATAGATGTTTCATCTATCCACATGCAGGCAGTGCCATTTATGTCAATTGGGACACAGTAGTTGCTTAGACACAGCCACTGCTCCCAAGTTAATCTGTGTGATTGCGTGTCCCCAAACGCAGACCATGTGTGTTTGGGGACGTGCCCACATGGATGACACATTGGAAGCAGCGATTGTGTCCGTGCAGTGGCTGCATCGCAGTTAACATGAATGGGACTTCCTGCACGCAGATAAAGGAAACACCTGTGCATCCCATGCAGGCAAAACACAGCTCTCATAAAGATGTACATTTAAGTACGCCTGTGTGAATGAGGCCTTAGGATAGCTGCTGGGGGAAGTTGGAAAGGCTAGTACTGACCTCATGTGGTTTCTTAAAGAGTAAAAAAAAATCTGAATTTACATATTCTAGGCAAAGTAATTGTTTGAAAAATTACACTGTTTCCACTCAATGTTTTTTTCTGTAGTTATTATTGCCTTAATGATGCATTTGCTCGTGAAACGTCAGCAAACATCGGTACCTTATATTTCCATAGATGATGATTTAAAATACCCTACATGTCATCAGTATAGAGTTAACCATGAATAATGGTCCTAAAATTATTGCTTTCTGGTGTGCATAGCAATATGTAATGTGCAGTGCAATTAATCTTTTTGTAAGTAGCACCCCTGATGTGTGTTTATGCTCGTGTGTATGAGGAAAGGTGGGGCTCAATATATTTTTGGGGCTGGGTTTTACATGCGTGGGTGTAACCTTATTTTTGACCCTTATTTATTATATCAATAAACTATTTTGTATCGCATAGAGTTCCAAAAGTGTTCAAAGGTTCTTTTTAATGAGACTTGCCCTTTTAATGAGATTTGCCCTTCATTAAAGCTAATGAAGCACAGATCACACTCGATTAGCTTCTTCCTTGATTACAGTGGCATACATATGTATTTGAGTGTATATGTGTCCACTTGTCTCTATCATTTTTTTCCAGGATGTTTGCACTCTACAGTCTTCTTTAGCTTTACATATACAGAACAGTATTTGCAACCCTTTGGTGACCACAATTCTACTTTTTCCCTACTCTAGTAAAATGAGAATCTATTTTGGCTATAGATCGTGAGAAGAGATATTGCTGAGTCAGTAGGCGGACATTTGCTGTAGTCCATAAGGAGTATACAGATGCTGGATCTCCTAGGACAGTGATGGCGAACCCGTGGCACGCGTGCCACAGCCGGCACGCCGAGCCTTATCTGTGGGCACGCCAGGAGAATCCAGCGGCGCGCTGTCTTCCCGGCTGTAGTGTGCGTGACAGCCGGGTCCCCAGTGCGCATGCACAAGAAACAGTGCTCTTTGTGAATGGTAAGGCGGTACCTGGGACACATGACAGATCCCAGAAGCCGCCGGACCAATCACAAAGCGCAGCGCTTCTCGCGCATGCGCACTGGGCATCCGGCTGTCCGACGAGCGCCCACACTACAGAAGCCGGGAAGACAACGCGCGGCTGGATAAAGGAACAGGTAAGATTAAAAAAAAAAACTCTGCGGAAGTAAGAGCGGGTACCTGTCAAATTCAGGTACCGCTCCCCCTCCCCTCCCCAAAGGTCAGCAGTCATCCCTGTGCTGTCCGCAGTCTCTGGTCATCCCTGTGCTGTCCGCAGTCTCTGGTCATCCCTGTGCTGTCCGCAGTCTCTGGTCATCCCTGTGCTGTCTCTGGTCATCCCTGTGCTGTCCGCAGTCTCTGGTCATCCCTGTGCTGTCCGCAGTCTCTGGTCATCCCTGTGCTGTCCGCAGTCTCTGGTCATCCCTGTGCTGTCCGCAGTCTCTGGTCATCCCTGTGCTGTCCGCAGTCTCTGGTCATCCCTGTGCTGTCCGCAGTCTCTGGTCATCCCTGTGCTGTCCGCAGTCTCTGGTCATCCCTGTGCTGTCCGCAGTCTCTGGTCATCCCTGTGCTGTCCGCAGTCTCTGGTCATCCCTGTGCTGTCCGCAGTCTCTGGTCATCCCTGTGCTGTCCGCAGTCTCTGGTCATCCCTGTGCTGTCCGCAGTCTCTGGTCATCCCTGTGCTGTCCGCAGTCTCTGGTCATCTCCTGTACTGTCCGCAGTCTCTGGTCATCTCCTGTACTTTCCGCAGTCTCTGGTCATCCCTGTACTGTGTCCGCAGTCTCTGGTCATCCCTGTACTGTCCGCAGTCTCTGGTCATCTCCTGTACTGTCCGCAGTCTCTGGTCATCTCCTGTACTGTGTCCGCAGTCTCTGGTCATCTCCTGTACTGTGTCCGCAGTCTCTGGTCATCTCCTGTACTATGTCCGCAGTCTCTGGTCATCTCCTGTACTGTCCGCAGTCTCTGGTCATCTCCTGTACTTTCCGCAGTCTCTGGTCATCCCTGTACTGTCCGCAGTCACTGGTCATCCCTGTACTGTCCGCAGTCTCTGGTCATCTCCTGTACTGTGTCCGCAGTCTCTGGTCATCTCCTGTACTATGTCCGCAGTCTCTGGTCATCCCTGTACTGTCCGCAGTCTCTGGTCATCTCCTGTACTTTCCGCAGTCTCTGGTCATCCCTGTACTGTCACTGGTCATCCCTGTACTGTGTCCGCAGTCTCTGGTCATCTCCTGTACTGTCCGCAGTCTCTGGTCATCCCTGTACTGTCCGCAGTCTCTGGTCATCCCTGTACTGTGTCCGCAGTCTCTGGTCATCCCTGTACTGTCCGCTGTCTCTGGTCATCTCCTCCTGTACTGTCCGCAGTCTCTGGTCATCTTCTGTACTGTCCGCAGTCTCTGGTCATCTCCTGTACTGTCCGCAGTCTCTGGTCATCTCCTGTACTGTCCGCAGTCTCTGGTCATCTCCTGTACTGTCCGCAGTCTCTGGTCATCTCCTGTACTTTCCGCAGTCTCTGGTCATCCCTGTACTGTCCGCAGTCTCTGGTCATCCCTGTACTGTGTCCGCAGTCTCTGGTCATCTCCTGTACTGTGTCCGCAGTCTCTGGTCATCTCCTGTACTATGTCCGCAGTCTCTGGTCATCCCTGTACTGTCCGCAGTCTCTGGTCATCTCCTGTACTTTCCGCAGTCTCTGGTCATCCCTGTACTGTCACTGGTCATCCCTGTACTGTGTCCGCAGTCTCTGGTCATCTCCTGTACTGTGTCCGCAGTCTCTGGTCATCCCTGTACTGTCCGCAGTCTCTGGTCATCCCTGTACTGTGTCCGCAGTCTCTGGTCATCCCTGTACTGTCCGCTGTCTCTGGTCATCTCCTCCTGTACTGTCCGCAGTCTCTGGTCATCTTCTGTACTGTCCGCAGTCTCTGGTCATCTTCTGTACTGTCGCAGTCTCTGGTCATCTCCTGTACTGTGTCTGCAGTCTCTGGTCATCTCCTGTACTGTGTCCGCAGTCTCTGGTCATCCCTGTACTGTCCGCAGTCTCTGGTCATCTCCTGTACTTTCCGCAGTCTCTGGTCATCCCTGTACTGTGTCCGCAGTCTCTGGTCATCTCCTGTACTGTGTCCGCAGTCTCTGGTCATCCCTGTACTGTGTCCGCAGTCTCTGGTCATCCCTGTACTGTGTCCGCAGTCTCTGGTCATCCCTGTACTGTGTCTGCAGTCTCTGGTCATCCCTGTACTGTGTCTGCAGTCTCTGGTCATCTCCTGTACTTTCCGCAGTCTCTGGTCATCCCTGTACTGTCCGCAGTCACTGGTCATCCCTGTACTGTGTCCGCAGTCTCTGGTCATCTCCTGTACTGTGTCCGCAGTCTCTGGTCATCCCTGTACTGTCCGCAGTCTCTGGTCATCCCTGTACTGTCCGCAGTCTCTGGTCATCCCTGTACTGTGTCCGCAGTCTCTGGTCATCTTCTGTACTGTTCGCAGTCTCTGGTCATCTCCTGTACTGTGTCCGCAGTCTCTGGTCATCTCCTGTACTGTGTCCGCAGTCTCTGGTCATCTCCTGTACTGTCCGCAGTCTCTGGTCATCCCTGTACTGTGTCTGCAGTCTCTGGTCATCCCTGTACTGTGTCTGCAGTCTCTGGTCATCTCCTGTACTGTCCGCAGTCTCTGGTCATCCCTGTACTGTGTCTGCAGTCTCTGGTCATCCCTGTACTGTGTCCGCAGTCTCTGGTCATCCCTGTACTGTGTCCGCAGTCTCTGGTCATCCCCTGTACTGTGTCCGCAGTCTCTGGTCATCCCCTGTACTGTGTCCGCAGTCTCTGGTCATCCCTGTACTGTGTCCGCAGTCTCTGGTCATCCCTGTACTGTGTCCGCAGTCTCTGGTCATCCCTGTACTGTTAATTAGTTTGCACTACTGTACGAGTTGTTTTTTCTAAACCAAAAGCTCGATATTCAGGTTTCATTGCAGTGTTGGCACTTTGAAAGAAATAAGTTGGTTTTGGGTTGCAGTTTGGGCACTCGGGCTCAAAAAGGTTCGCCATCACTGTCCTAGGATAATTAATAGCACTATTTTGGGAACAACTGCAATAGTCACTTGTTTAGATCTGTGACTCCCTATGGTAGAACCGTCTCTAACACTGCAGTTGCAGAGATCGTTCAAATTACACACAGCCCGAGTACAGTTGAGTTGAGGAATATAGCCCTGCTTTGTGAGTGATTTGATATATTATCAATTAGAAAGCAGTCCTAAAGGAAATCTGTCATGAAGGAATATAGTTGCCATAGGACTTGGATGCTGGCATTCTCTGAATTCTGACATGTATATTAGAGCAGGATAGAGGTGTGTTTTTTTTTTTTTTTTTTTTTTCTGAATAGGTTTAGTGTCACTTCCTTGTAACAAGTACACAATTTTGTAGTTAGAGTGACAGAGATCCTCTGAGATTGTTTTGAAGATATGTGATTCTGTGACAGATTTCTATTGTAGACCTTTGTGAATTCCTGTGAAGATGTAGAATGTGCTCACATGCTTCTATTGGCTGTTCTTGTAATTTAATACACTATGCATTTTTTTTACTTAATCCCAGCTACCATATATGCTCCCCGACGAAAAGGGCAACTTTCAGCTGACATCTGCATGGAAACGATTGGTGAGGAGATTTCAGAGCTTCGGCAGATAAAGAAAGGAGTATTCCAGCGAGTTGTTGCCATATTTATACATTACTGTGATGTTAATGGTGAACCTGTAGAAGATGACTATATATAGAGGCAAAATAATCAGTTTTTGATGATTCTGCTGGAGGCACGGAGAGACCAAGAGGAGATCCACGAAAATGAACATTTCCATTGGACCACTTGGCTGAAAGCAATCCGTGCAGCTCAAGTTCAGGTGGATGTTTTGTTCAAGACCAGAAAGTCTACGAAAGCAGCGCAGCGCCCCTTATTTTTCTAGTACTATGTCTTCCTGAAAGCTCTGACACTGTGTTGGAGACAGTGGTGCACTTACATCTAAATAAGTCATCACTAATTCTTATTGTATTTTTGTGGCTGCATAGGCCTCCTGAAAAAAGCTGGCTACTTAAAGAAGAGCCTCAGGTGAACATAAAATGTATTATATGAACAGTTGGAACAGCTGTTTTTCCTATATCTGCATTTTATCTTTGGATGCAGGAGCCAACAGTCCACAGTAGATTGAGTCTACTACAACCAAAGTTTACCAAGTACTCCTGAGCATGTTTAGGGGTCCTCATTGTACACCGTTATCCTGCTTACTGAGTAGTCGGAGGCTCCCAATACCAATGCTGCTGGTTAATAGGCGAGGGATATATTTCATCAAGATAGATACTGTTCTGAAGAAGAATGCCAATGTCTGACTCACAAGCTGCGTGCTAATCCCAAGGCAGTTAAGTAGCACTTAAACACCACTGTGTGTAAAGAAGGAGAACGTGTAAGTCAGGCACAGGTAGCTTCCAGCAGACCGTTATTTAGCTTAAAGTACAACTAAAGGTAACATTTTTTTTGTTTGTTTTGGATACAGTGGAAATGGATTACAACACCCGTCAGTTTTTATTGCTGTCTGTATTCCTGTTAGGGAGACTCACTCTCTCTATTTGTCCTGTTTACCGTTATCATTGAAAGTAAAAGAAAATCCCATCTTTTGGCTTGTTCCCAGAAAATTACTTGAGGGGAAATATTCCAATGGGGACACTAGTTCTGGTGACTCGGGGTCCCCAAGAAATTAATCTAATTTTCAGGGATTTCCGCTCACTTCCTGTTTGGCTATTGGACAGGAAGCAAAGGGAAATCTCCTCAATGGGACACAGATGGTGAAAATCTGAACAGGGTTATAACCCTCCCTTACTCTATCCAAAATGAAGAAAAAAAAAGTTTTGCCTATAGTTCTACTTTAATGACCAATTCTAAACAAACATAAAAGGAAATGGGACAACAACTTTGACTCTGTGTACTAAGCACTGTGGATTGATGAAGTTAGCATTGAGCATATGACAGGTTCACTTTAATGTTCAGGAAAAAGACTTGTGAAGCTCACAATTGAAGCAAAGATCAACTAAGCAGACATGCATTTAAAGTGTTACTAAACCCACAACAGTAAAATCAGTCTGTATATGCAGTCAAGTATGCTTGTTATACTCACTGTGGAACCTAAGGGGTTAATCTTCCCTATTGTGTAAAACTGCTATTTAATTCAGGCTTCTCCGATCCTCTTTCTTCCATTGTCCCCGACTGATCTCCTGATAACACAGAGTCTTTGGAGTCACTCTTTACACAGGACCAATCAGCACTGTCCAGACAGAGGGTCAAGGGTTATGCAGCCTCATAGGGCAGTCATAGGAGAATGAAAACTCCTACAAGCCTTAACCAGTGCTCAGCTGGACACTGATAGAAGTCACAAGTCTGCTCTAACTGCTGATGCAAAATTGTATTTAGCAGTTTATATTTACTAAATTAATTGCATTTTCATTTTCTATGTATAGTGGGAGACAAGATAAAGTGAATGCAGGGTCCTGGGTTTAGTAACACTTCTCTTTGGCCTGACTGACATTCTTCTTTCAGTCTCAAGGTATTCAATTAAGATACCAGGAAGAACATATATACAATAAATACTCTGCAGTAGATAGTTGGGCTTTGTCAGTGCCTTCTGGTAGCCAATACTTGATAGAAATTAAGCATTTGTCCTTGTGATAAGATTTATTTATCACAAGACAATGCCTTAGATGTCTTAATAAAGAGTAAGTTAGTAAAGATGTAGTGACAGTATGGAGCTGTTGCATTGAAAGTTAAAAGAAATTGAGTGCAAAACTGTTGTTGCCCATGGTGCAATTCTTGTTTAAATGTTCCATAAAGTAAAACCTGTTGGGTTGCCATTGGCAAAATGTTACATTTTGTGCTGATTTTTCTGTTTTAGTCCGCCCTTTTACAGCAGCTTTGATGATCTAGCTGTACGATTGCAGCGAGGCACATGCTGGGAATTGATAACGGGTATCAGAATATAAAGCCCACCAAGTGAATTTCTGTAAACATTGAGCACCTGACTTCGCCAATAGTAGTTGCAACTGATTTCCAAGAGAACATGCTAAATATGCAGCACTAACTGTGTTCCCTGGGTTACATATATTTCTATGTTCAATACAAAGTAGACTTTGCATTAAGGAAAAAAAAAAACAAACAAAATGTAAACTCCACACTAAATTACTGTCCGGTTTGGTTGTATGCCAATAGGTTGAATTGCCCAATAGCATCTTATGACTTTTGAAGTCAAATAGGGTGATTTCCCTGCAGCAGTTGTTTCCTCCAACAAAATGGATTATACAATTGGTTCTACATCATGAAGAATCCAATATGGCACCATTATCTTGCTTTGTAATAGCTGTTGGCAATCATTGGAAATTAGGATTTTTGGTGAACTGTGGAGCCATCATCATCATCCCAGAGAGACAAGAGGGAGCCTGTGGATCAGTCAACCAGCAACCACCCGAAGCTGAAGTGGCACTTTTGAGTGGAGTTGGCCTTGAACCATGACTTTTGCACTGAATTGAAGGCAAATCAGGATATAAATGAGCAGTTCCTAGAGCTGAAAAAAGTTTGTATATTTCCTGTATTTTTGTTTCCTAATTACAGATACGTTTGTAAACTTTTTCCATAAGCTTTGTGTCAATTTTTAAATCCATATCCAACACCTTCCAAATAACAGCATCAAGTAAAAGCTCATTGGACTGGTCACTTTGTCAGTTTTGTGTTTCATTTTGAGTCTACTAAAGCAATCAGAACAAGTATCCTTGGAATTTAGTAATTTTCACATGTAGCTGCAGACTTCCGAAACTCCTCTGGTGATTCAACCCCTTCATTACAGTAATGCTTTCATATTTACTGTGTTTTGTAATGTATCTTAGCAAAAGAATATAAAATACAATTCTTCTACTTATGACAAGGCAGTATTGATCCAATAGATCACACTCTCCTCCCCAGTCTGCTGTGTATTGCTGTTCTGGGTCTATAACTGCATATCTTTTAAGCTTATACTGCTGTTTAAACCCGCAAACCCATTAGAACGTGTACTGAGAGAATACAGAGGCTGTTGTTGCTGACATACTGTAATCTTTTGAACATGCTGATTACCTGGCTAATCCAATGAATGTAATACTTTTAGGGACTGACCTAGAACAATCATGTACATTTGAAAGCGGTGAAGTCAGAACTCCTGATTTGCGCACTTGTTCCAGGTCAGTGCGTCAAAGTATTTGACTTTAGTCTGATCTGTGTGCTTATTCCAGGTCAGTGACCAAAAGTATTAAATCGAGAGCCGTTCGGATACCTGGGATTTGTAGAAAATGATGAGTAATGGTGGCTTTAGTACTTCTCAGTAAAGGTTTCCTATAAGGGTTTGTTCAGATGGATTTTAGCTTGTGAAAGAGCAGTGTATGCAGCATGCTTTAGTGAAGCAAAGTAAGATTAGAGCTGCTTAATGAAAGCCTTTAAAGAACTTTTCAGTTCTAGTTTGAGATGCTAAATGCTGATCCTAATGGGAGTTCTGACTGTCACTTAAGCAATATTCAGCAGGCTTTCAGCATACTTCATGTAGTGCTGAAACTTCCTGAAGCCCTCTAATCACTTTTTTAAAGTGACAGTCAGCAATCCTATTAGGATTCGTGTTTAGCATTCCCATGAAACTTCAAGGGCTTCAACAAAGCTTGCTGTACATGCTGCTCTTATACAAGCTACAGCCTGTGTGAACAAAGCATTTAGGCCTTGTGAAGTCACTACATTCCAGTACATTGAATTTTTAATTTTTTCTAAAAACCTATTTATACCATTTTCATGCCTGTAATGCTTAGAAGTGAGAAAAATATGAAGGTGATAACATTGTGTAGATTTATTGTCCTGGATGATCTAAGTGCATCCTATAAATATAAACTTTGTTTATCACAGTTAAAGTATCAAGAAAAAGGCAGGCATTTTTCTTTTGTCCTTTTAGGAGCTGCAGAGCAATGGTAGTTAGTTGTGTAGTAAAAGTTTCTGGAAGTGTGGGTTTCTGGAATTTGAGGGTATTTACATCCAAATCAGGTGAATGGTGTAGGAATTACAACAGTTTGCATATGTGCCTCCCACTTGTTAAGGGACCAAAAGTAATGGGACAGAATAATAATCATAAATCAAACTTTCACTTTTTAATACTTGGTTGCAAATCCTTTGCAGTCAATTACAGCCTGAAGTCTGCAGAGCATAGACATCACCAGACGCTGGGTTTCATCCCTGGTGATGCTCTGCCAGGCCTCTACTGCAACTGTCTTCAGTTCCTGCTTGTTCTTGGGGCATTTTCCCTTCAGTTTTGTCTTCAGCAAGTGAAATGCATGCTCAATCGGATTCAGGTCAGGTGATTGACTTGGCCATTGCATAACATTCCACTTCTTTCCCTTAAAAAACTCTTTGGTTGCTTTTGCAGTATGCTTTGGGTCATTGTCCATCTGCACTGTGAAGCGGCGTGCAATGAGTTCTGAAGCATTTGGCTGAATATGAGCTGATAATATTGCCCGAAACACTTCAGAATTCATCCTACTGCTTTTGTCAGCAGTCACATCATCAATAAATACAAGAGAACCAGTTCCATTGGCAGCCATACATGCCCACGCCATGACACTACCACCACCATGCTTCACTGATGAGGTGGTATGCTTAGGATCATGAGCAGTTCCTTTCCTTCTCCATACTCTTCTCTTCCCATCACTCTGGTACAAGTTGATCTTGGTC